TATCCGATTTTCATGATTATTTCACCTTGATTACTCAGTCTATCCAATAACCTGATTATTTGGGAGTTTATGCGATGGAATTCACCCTCTCAGATGCCTCGAGCGGAAATACATCATGATAGCCAACTTTTGACAAGAGTTCTACCATCTTATATCCTAAGCTTTTAGTTCTCCTCATATCTGGCTTAATGCCCTAAAGACAAAGGACAAGCAGGGAGTTCAATTCTGCACAGTGTAACGGCGAAATGAAGTAAAACTCACAAGCTATATGGCAGAGAATGAGAAGAACGACAGCAGCTGATGAGCTGATCTGAGACGCCATACTGATCCAAGTGAACGGTTTGATGCGGGAATGCTCCCCATGAACTAATTTATATATGCGCTGCAAGAATTTGAGTTTCCTGCAGGTTTTCCAAAAACCTTACTGATTCCAAATGTCTAATCCACTGTTGTATGTGATCAATTATTGCCTTGAAGGAAAAAATTTATGAGTTATATTGTATGGTGCAAGCTGATTTAATGAATGAAAACGAGGAATAATGTGCTATGCGGTGCGTCGATCATTAATGAAAAAAATTATTGAACGCAGCAGTTTTTTGGCGTACGTTGTGACAATGGAGCTTGGTAGTTAATGGGGAATTATGAATTTTCTCTCTGTCTCGAAGAATTGTTGACAGACTGAAGGGACTTCAAATTCTTACAGCGCGTATATAAATTAGTTCATGGGAAGATTCCCTCATCAAACCGTTCACTTGGATCAGTATGGCGTCTCAGATCAGCTCATCAGCTGCTGTCGTTCTTCTCATCCTCTGTCAAACAGCTTGTGAGTTTTGCTTCATTTCGCCGTTACACTGTCCGGAACTGAACTCCCTGCTTGTCCTCTGTCTTTGCGGCATTGAGGTAAATATGACGTGAACTGAAGGTTTATGATATAAGGTGTTAGAATCCTTGTCAAAAATTGGCTATCATGAGGTATATCCGCTCGAGGCATTTAGAACGGCGAACTCCTTCGCATATACCCCCAAGTAATCAAGTTGTCGAGGAGCTTGGACAGAGTGAGGAATTATGTTGAAATAATCATGAAAATCAAATAAATTAGACAGTAACTGACAAAAACTACTGTGAGGACGTGTATCCTCATTAACTGATAGATGTGGCGATTTTTTTTTTCAGACGTTAACTCAGCCTCATGGGCTAATGGTTGGGAAGGGTCATCTGCAGCTGGATGGAGCAGTTCTCCGAAGGGAAGTTTTGGCGGTTCGTCAGGGAGTGGCTGGGGAGTAAGAATTCTCAGGAAACAAACACATCACCGCGGCAATCAACCCGGTTCGTCGTTGAATCGTGACACAGATATGGATACAACTTCACCACTTAAGTTTGCTCATTTCGATGAGAATATTCAACGAAAGATCACAAGAGGTGGCACTGATTACGTGTTATCATCTCAGGCAACTGGTAGTAGAATAAGTAGTGCTGAAGAGCATAGTATCTCGATTCCTGCAGATAATGCTGGAAAGTACGGTGCATCACCAGAGACTGAAAATTATCCAGCAGACGACGAATCAATCGAGTCCCAAAGCGTTTGGGAAACTCGCGGTTCAT